TTCATTTAGTTGGAGCGTAATTATCTTATCAGCCGTCTTCAAAAGCTGTTATCATCATGGAAGGGGCGGAGATAGCACAGTTGCCTGTACCACACGCGCGCATCATGGCGGTCAAATCCCACTTCGATTCTCAATAGGACCAGCTATGTCTCCCACGGGGGCCGGTGAATTTGTACCGAACTCCTCTGGCAGGATAAAATACTGTCTCGTGAATGGATACTAGATCCATTGTATGGGCTTATCGCATTCGAAATGTTACTACGATTCACAATTGAAATAGAGAGCGTGCCGCATCCCAGTGAGGGGTTAAGAAACCGTGAAGGCCTTGTTTCTTAATTTCTTCGACTGTTCTAGGGAAATCATTCAAGTTCAGCAAAAAATGTTTATGCGATATTTCTGGAACGTATTCTTTGCGAACAAAATAACAGTGTATACTTCTATCAGATATGAGGAGCTGATCGTCTTTTTTTCCTTAGTAAAGTAACTTCCCAAAAACCATGGAGATGTGGAGGTAGTACACGTAGTGGTAGTGGCTAGCGGCACGTTTACCACACGCGCGGTCCTGGGACTAATTCTCGGATCGGCAGCCGCTCAAGCCAACCAAACCTTCTGCCTCGCGGGTCCCGCACTACGACCTTTTCCTATGGTGTCTGACGGAAATATGAGAAGAACTGTTGAGTTTCTAGGGTTATCGTCGTATAATTAGTACCATAGACTTGAGCTCGATTGCAAGATAACTAGCACTTTATTGAGACAATGAAGCACCTTGAAGGAGTGGAGGGGTCTGTCCATCAGACATCCAGGGTACCGCTCCGATTTTAAGAGCGCACCCTTTAAACGGGGAAGTTCACGTGACCAGCAGCATGCTCTGATTTATAGCGCGGCTGGGCACGGTTGAAGCTCTTGAAGCAGGAATGACACGGCAATGACACATTGCTGCGCCTAGTAAAGAGTTTGAGAAAGTTGTGGAAGAAATTCAACAAAGGGACACTGACAGAGAGCTGAATGCTGGAAAGCAATCTCGCCGATTCGTACTTTCTATTTCCAAAGATGTCTACTGTAATCCGGGTGTGTGACGGCAATCGTCCGGCGCAGCTGGTGGGCGTGGCCTGCGACATACTTGCGGCGAGAAGACGAAGCGTGCTTCTGGCGGTTTGAATAGGGTTATTGAAGGGAAGGTAAAGATTGATATCACCCAGGATCGAGTTTTGTGTTCATTTACGGTGGAATTCTCAGTTAGAGGCATTGAAAATTCAATAGTGGAACGAGAATTGCATTGGGGTCTTTACGATGTTGCTCTAGGTTTGTCTATCTTTTGTACAGCAGCTCACTAGAAAAACTTGGCCCATCGCGTCCATTATATTGGACGCTGAGACGATTGCGGCAAACTGCATGGTTGAAACGCACATAACATGAGGAGGATCAGGGCCTCATGGCTGATTCTTTTAATATCTGTTTTATTTGCCTGAAGTTGCCGCGTGTTATGAACCGCCAAACAATTGGTGTGTTAGCTTGTCAAAGAAAAACCTCTTTAGATTTTCAAGCCATTGATGAGACGCTGCCTAAACTGTTGTGGATGTATGCTGTAGTAAATCATTTGCTCCAGTCGCAAAGCTATCGGCCAGCAAGTGGTGAGTGAGCGGTTGAGTCATTCGCCGCGCGACGCGCCGCGTGCGCTGGCCCCGGACGATTCTGTTGCTCTTGTTGTACCTATTACTACGCCAATGGCTCCCAGTACGGAGTGAAATGGGGTTCAAGCGTTGGCGTTTGCCTTCTTGATGAAGACTTGGCCTTGATTAGTTTTTCGTTGAATGCACCTTGCGTTCGCTCTCATTAGGGGTTAAAGTGACACGTAAATCTGATCGTAGATCTGATCTTTCCTGTTGCTTGCTGAGTTCAGCCGATGTACAGCACTTTTACCGTCGATGACCAGTCTTCGCATCAAGTAACCAAACGTGGAGTGGGGACGGCTAGGCGACTGGTTCGAGAGGGGTGGCGGTTCTGGTTGCAAATTCGGATTATGTCGCGTGGTACGAGCTGCCTTTTGCCACTAAGCAGCTCCCACCTTACTAGTTGTTCACGTGTCCCACCTTTTTTGTATTGGATGCACTATATGAGTGATTTGATTGATGAAAATATTTAGCAAGGTGCGCTGATGAGGTAACAATGGTCTTGCAACATCAGTGTATCGCCATGTTACTATTCTGCTACTTCAAACGGGAGAAATTGAACCCACACGATTCAGGTAAGACGGTTTCAGTAATGATACTAAGAATGTGCAATCTCAGGCCAGCGCCTTAATTTCTTTTTACAATGGGCATTTTGCTGTTCTACACCCAAAAGTGATGAATGGGTCGTGGGGAGTTGACATGTTTGTTAAGCGGGGATGGTGTTTGTCAACAATAAATTACATTAAGCATTCCAGCTGCCACGGAACCGGTAAGATTATTGGATGATTGGCTTAGTATTTAAAGCTTCCTTTTCTCGCGCTCTGATCGGATTGTATAGTTGAAGAATAGAAAGAAGTTTCAAGGAGATAGGGGACTTACTTTCTGTAAACCCTTGTGCCTTTCTTCCGTCTTTGAATAACATTGTTGAATTTGCTCTCAATTGCATTGTGAACCAGTTTTATGGGAGGATCACCATCTGCCAGTTTCCGTTTTGCTCCTGAATCCAAAGTCACGTAACTAGAATGATAGGAAAGTTCACCACCAATTTCTTAAAAACGCACCTTCCGTTAAGGAGTTGTTGAGGTGTTTGAGGATCTCAGCACGGCCTTCATCTGTCTTCGCCAGTTCTGTGACGATTTCATTGAAGACGTCTTGTTTGTTGAAAAATATCAAAAGCCCACAGTTCTGGATAGCATCTACGCTGAGAATTCGCTGAAAAACTAAATTTCGGATCGGGAAGTGAATGCTGAGTGATATTCTTACATCGAGTATCCTTATGCTGCGTTCCATTGCTGTGCGTTTCTCTTCTTCCTCGTCTTGAATATTGAAATCGGCCATTGACGTCACAAAAAGGATAAAATTCATATACCCTTCTCTATCAGCTGCAATCCATTGCTGCATGAATTCAGGTAATTTCATCTGAATTGTCTCAAATTATTTGCAGTTTATATTTTTGCGGAAGAAAAACTTGTGAGATCACTAGCATTTCGAGGAACTCATGGTTGCGTAGAGGGCGAAACAAAATGAGGAAATCATAGGCAGTAAAAGTGTTAGAAACGAGGTGTTTAGAAGGGGCGCATTGGAACCGGGTACAGCATCGTGGTGTGTGAAATGGCAGTCTCAGTGCGACCTCTCGAATTTCCTCATCTGATACGGCCCTGTTTCTACACCCCCTCCCTGCCTACCGTTTTCCTAACTAGCTTCCTACCACTGCCCTCAATTTTCCAGGAATCCCCCGCCTTCCCCTCTCCCTCCCTGAAGTAACTGCCGTCGAGAGGGGAAAGCTTATCAACAATTGACTGATTATTTCAGTTATCAGAAAACAGTTGTATAGACCTCCAAACTCGGAGGGGGGATCACAACCGGGAAAAATGTATCGTGCTCGAAGAACCTGATCAAGGGCAGATACGACCCCTACCGACCAACACCAACTAAATACGATGCCATCCTACCGCGATCCATCCTCGGCGACCTAAATAGCGTGAAACGGGAAAACAACCGTCAATAAAGATTTTTCTTCGGCCAAGTACGTACATCTCCCACCAACGACCTGTGCGAGTGATGAGATTCTCCCCGATTCTGCACCATGGCAGGGAGAAGTGAAGGTGTGGTAGTAAGAGATTAAGTAAGGCAGCGAAGAAAAAAAGAAAGGAAAATGTGAGCGAAGGGGGGAGGAGGGGTCAGCGAAATTGTCATGTTTATTTTACACTGAAAATAAGACTGGCATGTGAGTCAACTTCATATATAATATATTTCTTTTGTTGTAATATTTATATTTGGGTTGGAAAACGGATAGAAACAAGTAGAATGACAAAAGTGAAAAAAGCAAGTCTTGACACAAACTAGTAGTGAAAAAGAGTGTCAGCGAGAGAAGAAAAAGATTAGCAGGATGCAAAAAAAGACCAAAGGGGTAAAGTGTCTGTCTGTCTGTCTGTCTGTCTGTCTGTCTGTCTGTCTCTCTGTCTCTCTGTCTGACTCTCTGGAGGATTCGGCACGAAAGAAAGTCAAAAGTGGGATGAAGAGGGCGAGACCGAGGAAAATCCGGAAAATTGAGATGTCACCGCTGCGACGATAAAGCATCTAGTATTTTCTTTCAAAAATTTTTGAGTTTCTTGTCGGTAGCAATGTTAGGTAGTAAAGTTGAACAGAGATGGTTGTCCCATGCAGTCTGCGTAATTTTATTTGAAAAGAACAACTATGTGAGAAGTGAGAAAGGTTCTTCATTAAAAAAAGGAATTCCCCCATTTCAAAAAGTCACCTTCAACTTGTAGATGAAGTGCAGCGAAATTTAAGTGCGTGTTCAGCTTGGTGATGTATAATCGATAAAAGGATAAAGGATAAAGTCTTCGCCGTTGATCAATCCCTTTGTGGGATGCGGCATTCTACTTCCATTCAGAATCGTAGTGGCTTATTGAATGCGATGTGGCCTATACAATGACTTGCGGGGCCAGCCGATGTACAAGTCAGTGTTTTATCCTCCCAGACGAATCTGGTACCAATTTACCGTCCCCGGAGGGTAGAAGGCTTGGTTGGCCTGGGCGGGAGTCGACCCGGGATTCGAACCCGGGACCGCGCGAGTGGTAAGCGCGCCACTTGTCACTACACCACCAAATTCAGAAATGTTCATATTACTATACGAACATTATGTTGGTATGATCGATATCTCAGAAAATTCGATACGACTCAATCGGAGGAGTG